TGCAAACCTATCCACATGATGTGGACCCCATAACTTGTCAATACTCCCGAACACAACGCTTGCTATATACCCCAGTCATCATAGTCCACAAGTCGACTGAGGTAATCTGCCTGCAAATTACCATTACGAGGGAAGCCACTGAATACTCTCTATATTATGCTTAAGACATACGTCAAAGATCTCCATAGCTATGGACTGCAAGTGAGACTTCATACTGCCTTTGTCTACAATGCTGACGACATTTTGATTGTCTGTAAACCATTTAACCTTACGGCGATCGAGAGAAGAAACCAAACTCGCGAGCACCATATACACCGCCTTCAGTTCCCTTCCAAGTAGAACTCTGTCTTGCTTCTTCCTGATTCCACTGCCCATGGAAAATTACACAATCAACGTCAACACTGAATCCACCAAAACCACTGTCACTGGCGTCTGAGTAAACAATCTCTTAACCAAGCTCGTCTCAATAAGAGATCTAGACACATATATATCTATTTTGTTCAGCCAAAATTTCAGCTGGGCAACACTTCCAGGAGATAAAGAGATCTTATTCTCCCAAGACCACGTTTTGGCTACATCGATACTCAACGACCTAGTCATTAGCTGAGCTACTGGTCCGATAACTGGTTTCATAGATACTACCTGACCCACCACACCTCGCAACGGATCTCACAGCAATACGTCTAGGATGTTGCCTTAATATATGCAAGATAGTATGTTTCCAACTTATCTATCTTCCTCCGAGGAATGCTCATAGTTAAACACGTAGTGTCCAGTCCAAACCCTAACCATTCAATGGATTGAGATGGATGCCAGAGTGACTTCTACTTTGGGGACAAACCCTGAGGATACGAGATCGGTTTTAATGACTGCACCTTGTGATAAAGCTAAATCCTCTGAAGCACCGGACATAATTCCATCGTCCAAAAACGTAACAATTTTGTGTCCATCAGCACGCCACTTCTTCACTAGCTGACGTGTAACCTTAGTGAATACGTAAGGAGCTGAAGTCAGACCAAACGGTAAAACTAAGAATTTGTAAACAGCATATATCACCACCAGTATCACGCCATGCAAATCCAAGATAATCCTCAGCATGAGGGTAGAATATATCGATGTGGTGGTATGCAGAATGCTTATGTCAAATTTGATTAACCAATCACCCTTGATCACATATATTAAGAATGTCCAGAAGTTAATCCTCGTACTTCACGCTAGACATGAAAACAAACTTGTTAACCTGAGAGATCAATGATCAATCGCTTTCTTCCTGAAGACTGTATACGCGACAGTGGACTGATCACTCCAAATGTAATACTTCTGGTTAATACTTTTCTTGAGAAGCTCGCCGGTCAGCCTTCGTAACAAAAAAGTAGAATGCGTAAGGGTTGATTTATTGTTTTCCCAAAACATATGAGGGTGGTTTGAATACAAAATGGAACAAGTTATGCAAAACCATTTGGGATATAATGTCAAAGAACAAAATCTGGCTTTACCCCAACATCTCCAAACTGAATGCCCGCTTTGAGATCGCACCCTAACTCTGATTTCAGAAGTACCTGTCTGGAGATTCCAAAGTAATCGTCCGCTCAGTTAGAATCAACAGAATGACATAAAATACTTTAACTGCCAAGTCCTTTGTCTACTGCTTTATCGGTTGTGGTTGAACTCCAACTCCACTTCCGACGTGCCCAGCCTGGCCATGTATGCATGGCCCTTCTTAAAGTGTAAAATTCTCCACATCGCGAAAACATGCTCCGGCTTGGCTTCTGCCAATAAAAGATGTGAGGACGGACTGACAGGATGTACAGAAGAAGCAGAATGAGCACCAGAAGCGAGGCTGCACGTGGCCGGAGAAACGAGGATGATCTCCGCCAGAAGGACCTTACTGGTCGGTAAGGAGCTTGTTTCCAGTACTTTGTCTCGAGTTTCGACGGCTTTATTGGTTTCATGCCAAGATGATTTTCTTTATCACTGTAGAATCGCTTCCGCCAACTCATTGCTGATCGCATTCGCCGGACGGTAAGCCTCAACCCCGCCTGAAGAATCCGCTATCTTAATAAGCCATACTTTCGGTGTGAATCGAGTGTAATGGGTGTTGACGTGGCTCACCTGTCGTGTACCTCTGGGTTGAACAAACAGACCAATCCTTGCTCGATACAATCCAATATCAATCATTTTGATGTGGAATAAAACCTGTAGACCTTGCTAAAGTTTGTACAGCATCAGATCCTCGAATAGACGTTTCAAAGTTGATTTTCTTTACAATTTATTGTCTCTGCAGTTGACCACCATATGTCACGCCAAGGGTGTACACCATAATATGTAAACCCACATGCATCAAGATCAACACACTTCTCAACACAGACATTACAAAGCTTAAAGGTGATAAAGTTTCACTGAAAAAAAGTTAAACTACGCCAAAGACGGAATCGATCATAAAAACATTCCTTTGACAGAAGGACTAGGTTCAAACACTCAGCAATGCACTGGACTAGAGATTATCGGTATTCATTTCTGGGAGTTAAAGTAATAAGTACTTTATCCATTACAATGCAGTATAAGTGACAGTTCCCAGCTGTAGTAACACGTCTGCGGTATGTAAATAAAATTGACACTTAACAGTAAAGATTTAGACCTTGCACAGAGTAGAGACACTGTGTCAAACATGTGTAACACCTTTATTCACGTTTTGCATGAATTATTGCTTTTGCTGGCATGGTACATATATCAATGCCTTCACAAATGAAGTGCAAAAGGTCAATGTCCAAAACCGAGGGGTGACAAACGGTTGGTGGGAACAGGGGTGACAAACGGTTGGTGGGAACAGCGCCGACCGTCCAGACAGGTAGAGTTGCACATGTGGCGGCGCTGTTCCACCAGCCGTTTGTCACCCCTCGGGGTAAAGAGTGAAAATAGAACAATGTTACAGAGGTTTCAGGGCCATGTGTCTTATTTATGTTTTGTGCACTTCTCCCTATTTCGAGTTATTTAATCATTCATCGTTCTCATTTATACCAAACGGACTGTAGTGGGTCCATATTACAATGCTGACAACATTCCATAGTTAGTCCATCTTACAATGCTGACAGCATTCCATCGTTGGACCATATTACAATGTTAAGAGTATCACATGGTTGGATCATATTACAATGCTGACAATATTCCATAGTTAGTCCATCTTACAATGCTGACAATATTCCATGGTTGGTCCATATTACAATGCTGACAGTATCAAATAGTTGGATCATATTACAATGTTTAGAGAATCACATGATTGGACCATATTACAATGTTGACAGCATTCCATGGTTGATCCACACTGCAGTGTTGACAGTATCAAATGGTTGGACCGTTTTACTATGTTGACAGTATCCCATGGTTGGACCATATTACAGAAATATACATTTAGAAACATAAGGTGAACAGATTTCAACTTTTAAAAACACCGATTTCGAGTGTTTCTGTAATGTTTATTACATATCCATTTTTATGAGCACTACATATCACTACCCATAACATATAGCTACATATCTACCCATAACATAAAGCTACATATCTACCCATAACATATAGCTGTATACCCACCCACAACATAAAGCTACATATCTACCCATAACATATAACTACATACCCACCCACAGGATAAAGCTACATATCTACTCATAACATATAGCTACATATCTACCCATAACATATAGCTGAATACCCATCCACAGGATAAAGCTACATATCTACTCATAACATATAACTACATACCCACCCACAGGATAAAGCTACATATCTACCCATAACATATAACTACATACTCACCCACAAAATAAAGCTACATATCTACCCATAACATATAATTACATACCCACCCACAACATAAAGCTACATATCTACCCATAACATATAACTACATACCCACCCACAGGATAAAGCTAAATATCTACCCATAACATATAACGACATACCCACCCACAGCATAAAGCTACATATCTACCCATAACATATAACTACATACCCACCCAGCAGCAAAAGCTACATCACTCCCATCTATATACCGTTTAACAATGTTGGATAGTATCCCATGGTTGGACCATATTATCTACCCATACATAGCATATAGAAACATATCTACCCATAACATATAACTACATACCCACCCACAGGATAAAGCTACATATCTACCCATAACATATAACTACATACCCACCCATAACATAAAGCTACATATCTACCCATAACATATAACTACATATCTACCCATATTAACCTGAAGTGTGCTTCTCACTATATATAAAGCATCTCTTGTTTTCCCAGAATAACCGCATTTGAGGTTGTTTTTGCAAGTAAGACCTCTTCCTAGGTTTTACTTTTTGAAATTTGTTTTCCTAGCTCTGTATGAACATCATCATTTAAATGACATATGAGTGTCTGAAATCAATTTAAAAATATCGTCAAAGATCAATTTCAAAGTGCAAATGTTTTCTCAATCAATATTGAAACCACTTGTTTCAAGTTAATGAGCGGACGCTCTACCTCACGGCCACCGAGCCGACGAAGACGATGGGGGTTGAATTATCTGTTACTGTCATTAACTTGATTTTACTTGCGCTTCAGTTATTGTTATGTAGCTTCATTAAATGATCATCTACATTATAATTATCCATCATTGACGGTTTATATGTTAGGGAAAACACTTCCCCTCGGTTTAGGTAGAGGATGTAAAACCTTAGGAGGAGGGAATTCCCCCAATTACCCCCAATTTTTACATATGTTATCAACGAGCAAGCCCACAATTTCACATACTGTTTTCTCAATAACCTGCAGAAGGCATTGGTTTATAGCTTTGATAAATTGTCCTGAACTTCATAGTGGAGATGTGACTTCATCCATGGTGACCAGGAATAGTTACAAATGTCCCAGGAATCCAGGACAGAAAGATCTATGTCCATAACCACATGTACCGTCTTCTTTTAGGTTACGAAATCTGGTTAAGTGTTGTTGACCCTTTGCCAGCTGTGTCTATGCAGCACAGTTACGTTGGTAGTACGCCCATTGAGGATGTTGACCCTGATCTGTCGAGTTCACACGGAGGTAAGTGACGGTGTTGATGATACAGCGATTCCGTTCTCCGTCGAATTCAATGCTTTGGCACGTGTCCCTGCAGAGCTGTGGGCAGGACGTTTCTCCCAGCGATGTGTGCACACTCACATCATGTCCCCAGATGGCGTATCCAGGGTAACGAACAAGTCCAGATCCCAGGGTAGAACACTCTGTGTAACAAATAACAGAGACTTTACATTATATATATGTTAGTTAAATTCACAAGACAGCATTCTAAAGAATTTCTATCGAAACGTCGCATCATCTGAATATAGAAGGTGTTCATCCAGAAAGTTTCTCTTTATCTGTCTATACTAATGAACTCTCCAACAGAACGTTGTGGTGTGCTTCGAGCATCCGTTGAGACATGCGCTATAGAAATGTACTGTTATTACTATTTTTAAAAAAAATACCAAAACATCAGAGAGATGACATGGTTGTCCTGGTACAGTCAGGCTTGTCAAGCTCATCATCAGATCAGGTACCCTTGTCCCCTCTACACGTAGCCCAGACAACGAATGGAACTTCTCCCAGGAAGCGCTGCCTTGTCGAACCCACCAAGTACTTTCCAGGGAATATGGAGACTCCCAACACAGGAGGTTACTGCATTTCCCATAGTGTCAGAAGAGCTGTGCCCCCGGTGAAGAATCAAAGAACACTCCTGTGATCAGGAGGTACCAAACCAAAAGCAGAGGGAACTATGAGAAGTGAGTGAGTGAGTTAAACTTTTACATCGCATCGGCAATATTACAGCCATATAGCGATGAAAACAAGGTAATCAATTTAAAATACCTGTCGACAAAGGACAGTAAAACCAATTAGACTATCACAGATATATATTGAAAACTAGTAATTAATACTTTAACTACAGGGGACGATACAATATAAAAACAGGCTATAGATCGCCAACAGCTGAAGGTAGATCACTATACTAGGGACCACAGGGACTTACAGTGCCTTTGCTACCTGCATGGACCCTAGATGGATTTATACCATCCGTTCAACTGCTGGCGATTGTAGGAAAAGTTTGGCCGAATATTAAAAGAACAAAACTACTACGTTTAAAAATCTGGTAAGCTTAAATTTTAGCCTGATAGTTTTGGGACTTACGTACCCTCTCAGGATGACAATAATTTTATGATACTTTAACCCCCTGTGAGGGTTCAGCCTCTAACAGTCGCAGTTGCTATCCTACCAGGTTTAAAATACCATTCATCTAATAATTCTATTTCCTTTAAAAATTCAATTATTAAATGATAATTAAAATTACTTAAAAGATCCTTCAATGTTTTGACATTGAAATATCTATCCCTTGTGATGGAAAAATCAATACAGTCAAGCAGGACATGCTTGACCGTGATTCTTTCATCACAAGGGATGCAAAGGTGAAGGGATGGTTGGTGTCTGTTTCTTATTCATTTTTTCCTTTCGTTTTCGACAAGTAAAGTGTGTCCGGTTGTTTGTCAGACGTTTTTGATTGTGTCTCAGTCTGAGATCCAGATGGTGCTGTATTGACTGGGGAAGTCGATGGTGTGACTGGGGGAGTCGATGGTTGATTTAAGTTGAATTCACGGGTTTCTGTTTTGACCCACGTCAGGTCAGTCTGGCATGTCACACAGGCTGTTGCGACAGAGCGAGATACTGCAGCATAACAGGTGATGTTTGATCGAGTTGGGAACTAAGGTTTTAGTAACCCTTTTCGGTCAAAGTAGGAGATATTTTTTTCACACTTTAGTTTCATTATTTGGGACTCCTTTTGCCACACTGGGCAGGATTTAGAGGAAGCACCATGTGGGCCATGACAATTTGCACACTTAAGTTCTTTATTGCAGTCTGTGGTTTCGTGACTATCACCACAGCGATAACAGATCACAGATCGAGCCATGCCCAAATTTCTGGCATTTGTAGCATCGTCGAGTGGACATGGCACATATGTTTCCACTCCGATACTGGAATACCCTGCTTTGATTGATTGCGGAAGTGATGTTCGCGCAAAAGTCAAGAGATAAGTGTTATTATTACCTTTAAGATAAATTTGTCGAATTCTGATTCTGAATTCTGAAAATACGAAACCATGTAGGCGGATTTGCCAGGGTGTACGAACCGTACACCCCGTCAAATCTGTCATGTGACACATTACACGGGTTGTACGAATGACCTAGACCTTAGATGGAATGTGGCTGCCAAACGGCTGATCGCTTCGAACTTTTAGTATTGGCGTGTACAACTATGTGTATAAACAGAGTAATGAAGTTGTTGCCATAATTTCTTATTTGTGCCAATAAATATATATAAAAAATTAAAATGTCTCTGTATTTCACTTGTCATTTAACAAAACCTCAAATTCGATATCTTTAATCATAAACTAAGACATGCCGAGTTATCTCCCTTCATGACCGTTCAGGATATATCATGGCGAAACGTTTTGCGTCTCATTCTGCCGATGATTGAATGTTGTTGTTTAAAGATAAGCTAAATAAAAAGATTTTAAGGGTAATAAATTCGTCACACGATGTTTTGAAAGGGTGTACGGGACTGTAAGACCCTTGTAAATTCCATATTTCCTTCGGCTGCGCCTCAGGATTTGTGATCGGTGTTTGTGAAGACGCCATCTTTTTTAACTGTGAAACGTTTGACAGCTATAATACTCTTGTCTTGTAGCTCTGCTGAAGTTTCCACCTCTGACACTATCGGACAGGCAACGAGTACTGTCACGTGTGATGCCTTGACACGTGTTTAATGTTCTGTGCACAAAGTAACGTCTGCAAATGTTTGGATTGACAAAAGATTGAACGATTGCTGTCTCCGTGCACACTCCACTAGAAGCGAGCCACTACGGAGACGGGTAACGTTTTTTACATCCCCACAAATCCCAGATACAGCTTTGGAAATAGCAAAAGGATTGAGTTTATGGGGAGATAATCCAATGCTTCTATCACCAGGAAACGAGCCCACGAATCATCATTTGTAGACAAAGGGTCTTTGAGCGACAGTTCCAATTCTTCGTTTCTTTATGTTTCCATTTGAACCAGGCATTCGTTGTGTCATGATGAAAGGAAAAAGGTTTCAGCACCCCTTCTCCCGAACCACCAGGGGGTGTCAGCAAGGTCAATGCCATCTATAGCACCGGATCTCCAAGATGTTAGCTGACACCAGGGAAACAGGGGTGTAATACTTCAGAGAATATGACACAAAAAACAGTATTTGTATACCTGATTAAATGTCAGGGTGGTTCAGCCCATGGCAAGAAATAGAATACATACTGAATTTGGAGGTCAACATAACTAGATTGGCCCATGAGCCGCCGCCTTCTGGCATAGGACTCTAGGCAATTTAATGTATCAATAGTTTCTATATTACAAATAGAAATGACTTGGTCAAATGTGCAAGAACCGGGCCAGTTCTACCACCCGTGTAGGTGAAGTTAGGGCCGAAGTGGTGTCTTGGGCAAAAGGATCACGGTTTCAGGATCCTATTGCCCTCAACCACCAGGCTCCCTTTCTCCACTGACACAGGCGCAAGCCACGGCTATTAGGTAGCCCAAATCGGTCTCACGACAAGCAATGGGGTGCTGTATACCAAATATGCCCCCGGGTCCACACGGGGGGTTGAAGAGCTCTTAGCGTTAGACAGCCCCACCGCGAGGAGGTGGCCCTTCACAGGTGAATAACAATGAGAAACCTGACGACAGGTGTAATTAGGAAGCAAGCGATACATTTCAAAAGGCAATGTATTTCCTAAGTCTTGTCAATCACATTGATGCAAATAGGGACAGAAACTTCACATGATCTGTCGGATGCGCCATTAAATTGTTGGAACTATGTTCCAGGAGCAGATTCTGCCACGGATATAACTGTTCAACAGGTTGTAAGTTTAGCACTTGCTGTATACGAAATTTCAGAAATATCGTAGAGTCTATGAGTTACCGTGACAGCTTGGATTCATGCTCACATACTTTTGTTGCCAAGACTGCATTATTTAGTTATTACCGGAGTCACACAGATGAATGGATGAATGGTTTCTCTTCCAGTGAATATCAAGTGTTGAAATCGATGATGTTATGTATAATGGAGACTCTCCGAGAATCGGGACTGTAATAGGATCCTGACGAATATATATGTAACGGGGATGGCTCTTTCAACAACACAAATCCGTTGAGGCTGTAAGTCCGGATTTATTGCTGTAGTTTGTGTATGTATACAAGTCAACCTGTTTCAAACTGACTACATGTTGTGAGGCACCAACGTGCACCAACAAAAACACCAAAAAAGGACCTGTAATTCACCAATTCACAATCCTCCTTCCATGACTTTCCAACCACCTTGCCAGGTTGGGAGAAAGACAGCAAGTGAACAAAATTTCACACTTTCCAAATGCATCTAACTTCAACATCCAATCAAAATGACTTCATTAAGATTTGGCTAATTTAGATAGGAACTACTTTCGACCCATGACCCAGTGGTGACTATAAATAAATCATGGACATGTGAAAATGTAAACCGTTTCATTGGCAATTGTATTACTGTTTAATGTGTTGTGAATTGATCCCAAACAGGTAAACAAGACAAGACATGTTAAAATAGATTGCATTTCCAGAACATTTACAATTTGTATATTTTGTACTTGTTACATATGCAGTATGTAATACTTTGCATGATCAAGTGTCATGTCCATCTCAACCAATCTATTTTATGCATAGGCAACCTTAAGAGCACAAATCGTACAGACGCTGGGCGCCCAGGGCTTCAGTAATATAACAGAAAAACGATCTTCATGGTGAAGGACATCACATATGACCTTCACACGTTATAACCATGGCAATATACCTTTCTCACTGAACTACCTCCCTGTATGATACGTGACAATTTGATGAATTATTTAACTTACCAGTGACACAGGCCTGTTGTGAGGGGGAAAACCAGAGCCCAATCTGACAGGTGCACACTCCATCATTGCACACAGAGGTCGCCACATGACAGTCGCCATCACTGGTACAGGCACTACCTATGAAGTGGGCAGCTGAAATAAAATATCATAAACTACGTGTATCCTACATTTCTAGATCCGTATTCTTAAACATTGACAACCAGTTATACCACAAAACGTTGAAATTATGCATTAGATCTATGTGGTAGTGGTGGAATTTGGTTTAACGTCGTGCTTGAGAATATTTCGCTCATATGACGACGTGCATGCGTGTGTATGTGTATGTGCGGCTGCTTGTACTAGCCCAGACTAAAGCTGGTTTTATAGTGCTAGCCCACTGAGATACCATGCCGCAGTGAAGCATGAATACCCCACTCAGAAACATTATACTGACTCCGAGCCGACCAGTCCTTGTTGTACCCATTAATGCCGAGCGCCAGGCAGGGACCAACAAGTACCATATTTTAACGTCTTTTGGTATGACGCAGTCGGGATCGAACCCGCGACCTTCCGCACTCTGGTCGGACGCTCTAACCACTACACCACGGAGGCGGTCTCTATGTGACAATATCACAATCACAATATCACATGTCTCCACTTATACAGAAAATAAATGTTATGACTACTGTTTCAATGCCTCCTGGTTCAGTGATCGCTAATTCCTCCCTACCACGCCCTCATCCCCGATGTTTCCAGATTGTTTTGGAGTGATACAAACGTCATGCAAGCGGAAAAGAAACAGATACCTGCCTGTAACGTCCGGAAAGTGGACGGGTGTCTTGCGATCAGTCAGCAAGTCAATACAATACGGCCCAGTGGCCGCTACTTATAAATTATTAGCTGTTCCTGGGTGTTCGACCCTGGTTTTAAATAGTCAAAAGGAGGAAAGGAGAAAATATTTTCCTTGTTTGGCATATTTTTTTTCATTCTTACATTCATTAGTTCACTCGTTTCGTGTTACAAGAGTCATTTAACGTCTTCTGCATGCTTGTGGCTTTGATCCTCGAGTTCCATCCATGGTACGACCATGAATATGTCATGAACAAATATGCTTTTTCACTTCTTTGGAATACGCCCAGCCTCAGGAAAATCCCTGTCAGTAAACCCGACCTTGTCCTTTTTGATAAATTCATTAAATGTATTCATGTTGGTGAATTTTCTGTCCCTTTTGACAGCAACATGACTGACAAGATTCCCCATTATTTCCGTTGACATTGGTTTGGTACCTCCTGATCTCTTGACGCAGATCAGTGCCCAGGTTCTCCACCGGGAGCACAGCCCTTCTGACACGCTGGGTAATGCAGAAGGCTGCAGTGTTGGGGAGCCATCATATTCCCAGGGAAGTTCTTGGCGGGTTCGGTTAGGCAGCGCTTCCTGGGGGAAAGCCCACTTGCTGTATGGGTTACGTGTAGAGGGGTATCATAAAGTCAACGCTAGAATCAAGTGGATCTACAAGTTGCAGCACCACGGATACTCCAGTAGAAAAGCTAAAAAAAGATTGGCCACTAGATTGGCCAATGAGCCACCACCTCTGGGCATACGACTCTAAGTATAAATTTTGAAATTCAAGTGAAATATTATTTGGCCAAGACCACTGACAAAACATTTTCGTAGCGTAATTTTTGCAATAACATAATGCACAGGGCTTGGCATGACCAGCCGATTGATAGAACCGGGCCCATTCTACCACCCTGAAGCGGTGTGTTGAGCAAAGGAACACTGTTCCTGGAACCAGTGCCCTCAACCACCAGAATCCCGTCCTCAACCGACACAGGGTCGCAACCCACGGCAAATTTGGTTGTCTTTTACGACCAGCAATGGGCCTCTGTGGTTCTAGTCCACAGGGGTTCGAATCACTGTTTGGACAATAATTGTTAAAAATAAAAATAAAATGCACTATGTGCACTATTTTATTGTATTTAACACCTAAAAAAATTTACTCGCCGTGAAAGAATTTCTAAAACCATGTTCGAGTTTTCCAAACATATCATCTGTGAAAACAATATTCCGCAATAATCGCACACGTGGAAATTGACCAATTAGAGCCGTTTTGTGTTCCGAGTCATTCCGAGATTTTCGGACAGTGTCGATGTTTACCGAAGGGCGGCCAGTCCATTCGTGACCCACTCGTGTTATTCCGGGACAAGTGGTGACGAATCGAGAGGTTATGGAAAGGGGCGAGTGGTGACGAATGCGAGGGTCAGTGGTCAAATATGAAATGCAGTTAGACAAACTGACTACGATGAGCAGAAGGCCAAAGAATAATCTACAAGCTCAACACATTGTTTTGTGAAAAACGTAAGGTTTGATTGAGCGCAGGTTAAAATAGTCGGGCCGTCCATCGGGCTTTTAGCATCGCGAGTGTCACCCCTTGTGTATTTCATGTAATGAGTGTAGCGGGAGAATTTTCTAAGAAATCACTTTCTTAACTGATTTCGTTAAAACTTGAAATATAAGTTACTCATAACATGTAAAAACAATATACGGTTGAAAAAATCTAGATTTTTATTTAAAATAATTATTGTCCAAACAGTGATTCGAACCCCTGTGTTCTAGTCTACCCCGGGTCGACACGGGTGAAGAGCTATCATCGTTACCCAGCATTCACCACGAAGAGGTTGCTCTTAATGAGTGCCCATTGTACTAAGATTACGTTACCATCGGATTTAAAAGCAACAGAAATTCTTCAAAGACATTCAGAAGTTGGTGTAGTGTTACAAGACAACAGAAATTCTTCGAAGACATTCAGAAGTTGGTATAGTGCTACAAGACAAATCTTATGGATAACATCTTCTTTATTTATTTATAAAGAATTTTTATCCGAAAGGTTTGTCTTGTAGTAGTTATGATCTACTTACAAAAAGCACCACACAGGAATACGATTGTGTTTGTTTCGAATATTCCGACAATAGATATGAAGTAGAATATGAAACCGAAAGAAAATCGTTTTTGGTTTTCAACAGTAATTAAGCCATTATACAGCGTGTCAGCTTACAGGTGATGTATGCAATAGAATGAAGCTTCTTTCTTTGTAACGTACGAGAACAGCGATATGTCAAGAAACATAAATTGGGGATTCGAACAGACCTGATTTAATGATGTGTTTTGTTAAAAAAAGGAGCAGTCGTAAACACAAATTTGACAATTACCTCTTGGCAGTAGGTAGAGCCTTGAATGCTGTGAAACAATGGCAGGAGGGTATATCTTGGAAGGACTAGCAAAGGCTGTGGCATGACCCGAACATCTGCTGGAGTTCCTGTCTACCTGCATACTTCGACACCGAGTGTCAAGGAAACATCGACTAACGCACGCCGCTACACTTTCCATTTGGTCATTCCACAGCAGGTGCTCGTTCACGAATAAATGATCAAAGTCAGGTAAGTGCACAAGTTGCGCGTTTCCACACATCACAGAACAGCAGCAGGGACGTCCATGGAGTAGCAGAGAATAAATAACAGCTACAAACTTATGCCAGATAAAAGCTGCCATTTTGTTGAGTCCGAATACTCGAGTACAGTTCGACTGTCAGATGTGAAGCGTTGACCTCGTTGTGTCCTATCACAATTACAATGGGACACCGTCACAGACTCTTGAAATGTGGAACATCCAAACGGTGCGAGTCATGTTATGAATAAATAACGACGAAAAATACTTAATGCTATCTTGTCCTAGTGGGTACAATAGAAACATGACACGAACCTACTTAACACCTTAAGAAATCATTATTCGTTTGCCACTCAAGTCATTAAAGTATTCACGGAAATAGAAATAAAATGTTTTGGGCGTTAAGTTTTTTAGTTTTTAACACAACTAAAGTTTGATTGTTAAGTAATCTCTGACTATCGTTTTTCCCAACTTTTGTTTTTAACACTTTTTGTAAAAAAAAGGATGAGTACCATTCCCTACTTGATTGTCCGCTGTAATTAGATCTTAGACGAAAATATTTATCAAATCAGTTTTATAGATATTCAAACGGTATTTAATTTATATCATTACTAACAGTTTAATGCTTCATAATTTATCAATGTTTAAATATTCCGTGCAACATTACCAAAAAATATTTGGGGGAAAAAATGTAAATGTTTTACCACTCGGGTGAATATAAATGTATGCATGTTTTATGTACTATATAGCTGGGGCCTCTTCAGTATGGAATAAACGATTGATTGAGGCACATAGAATGTCAGACAATTATCACGATCGTTTGTATATGGATATATCGGGGAAAACAGTCACATTGAATGTACATCCCAGCTGTAGAATAGTATAAAAGAATGTTTCAATTTCTTAAAAATAAATATCAACTGATATTGTATTTGCCATCATATTCGGAATGTATGTATGAAGCAGCAACATTTGGAATACAGTTGCCACAGTCACAGCGGAAATGGGACCAGGTAAGGTCAGGTAGCATGCAATGACACACGGATACATCATTTAACGGACGGGAATATCCCATGTAAAAATTCATGGTAACCATACTGAATTTCAGTCAAACAGTATTATTTGAAACCTAAATAGTTATATTGGTTATGATTTATAATACCATCACGATTATAGTTAAAAATATGTGTAATTAGTCATACATTAAGAAGATTTAAGCTGTGCGCTGTGTATGCACAAATGTTTTAAAGTCATACCCTCTAGAAAATGTTTCTCCGCGACGTATCTTCTCTGTCCTAACTAACCCATGAAGACTGACATTATCGAAGAGTGTGGTATCGATGATGCAACATGTATTTATGTAAACCCCCAGAATAGTAATCTCTTTTCATGTACATACCTCTCAGTAAAAGTAAAACAAATTGCACTGATAAACTACTCTGAATATTGAGAGTCTTTAGTAGCCTATTTTGTCATTGACTCGTGCCGGGATGCCCAGTCATTTAAGGGAAGCACAGTTTGTGCATAAACAAATGGATATACTCAACATTTCATGCACTATGCAAATTACTGCACTCTACTCTGAGTTATGTATTTACAATACTCTTCAAGGTAAATGTATGATATCAAATGGTATACAATTGACCTTTGTAAGTCACTACGATGTATTCTCCTATTTCTTGTCTTTCTACTTATGTGTGGCGGTTGACACGTTATTCTTAATTCATGACAATTAGTGGGCCTCAAACATTTTATCACTTGGTCGAGCTTAAGACTCCAAGGCACTCGATTCATAGTAGAAATATAGGTATATATATCTCCAAGGGGCTATGCCAAATTTCAAAATACAATAGGGTAAATCAAATAAAATCCATCAACTACCTTCAATTAAATATCAGTTGTGAATGATTTGTTAAAATATTTTCATCTGACGGTGGTTATTGAAAGTACGTTTCGTTAACTCTTTCCTAAGCTCATTAAACAGAAGTATTACTTTTATGACACCGAGTACAGAATACGACCTAACACACACTTTCTATTAAAGCTAAACAAAGACTTATTTACGATGGACCACTCAACGCTTCTTCTTTGAGTGGCCTGTTAGAAGTTACGCTTCGATGAACTCATTCATGACCTTGTTCAACCAGAAGCTTTTACTGTATTAACAATACAACCTTCAATGAACTCTCAATAAAAGTCTAACACGGACTTCTGGAAATGTACACGATATCCGCTTAACCTTTCTTCCTTGAGTGGCATTTTAGAAGCTTATGAAGTAATGAAGGCATTTTAGAAGTAATGGTTAAAGCTTCCGCTCCTCAGGCCAAAGACCAGGTTTCGATTCCCCACATGAGTACATTGTCTGAAGCCCATTTCTGGTGTCCCCCGACGTGACATTGCAGGAATATTGCTAAAAGCGGCATAAAACTATACTCACTCACTCTTTCAAATGGTGAAATTGAGCAAGTGCAGGATACAGGTGGTGTATTGAAAGCCACACTTGCAGAGTTTGGGGAAACTTTCTGCAGTCAGTGCACGGTTGGGTGAAACGTGAAGGGTCTTTGGTCCAGAAGAGTGGAAGGCAGTCGGAAGAGTCCTAGTCTATGGACAGAAGACACTTGGATACTGGCCTGTCCTCTTACCACATTCATTTGTCATTACCTTTTTCCTTATCTATTCGTATCCAATGTTGACCTGATGAGCAGCGTCAACGACTTCATCGACAAGGACGTCTTCCAGAGGTCAGTTGAAAATTTCCAAGGTGTTGACTCTGAGGAACTTATCGAAGCACTCGGCACACATGAATGCAGAACACGTGTAAATAAACAGAACATCGTTTCAGTCCTGTTAGAAAAATTGCACACAAAGAGTTACTGCAAACACCTATGTTTATCTGTGACTGCTGGAGGGAAATTCTTCAGGGCATTGACATTTCAACTGATAAGCTTGATAAGTTGTACAGATAAGCTTGAACAATTGTATCGCTTGATAAGTTGCTCGGATCCTGGTCTTTCCGGAAACCGAAGGAGACTGATGTTGCCAAGTGAGTGAGTTTTAGTTTTACGTCGCTTTTAGCAATATTCCAGCAATATCGCGGCGGTGGACACCGGAAATGGGCTTCACACTTTGTACCCATCTGGAGAATTGAACCCGGGCCTTCGGCATGACGCGTGAACGCTTTAACCATTAGGCTACCCCACCGCCCTGATGTTGCCAAGTATCTGAGGAGATATGTAAAGGACCTCGATCAGGAAAAACTTCGTCTGTTTCTGTGTTATTGTACTGGCTCAGACCTGCTTATCTGTTATAGAATCACTGTCGAGATGATATCCATGGAGCCGTTTGAACGATGGCCGACTGGACACACATGTGGATCTGGGCTTCAAGTAGAAAACCATCATGACAACTTCATAAAGTTTAGAAGCGAAATCAATAGTGCTGTAAATTTGGATTATCGATCTTGTTTGAATCTAGATTGATATTTCCTTTGCCATTTGTGATAACGGGCAACTGTTAACAGTGGACAATCAAATAAAATACCTTAATTATTAATTCCGGATTTTGATTTAATACGTTCTGACTTTGTTGGGAATTAAACTAAAAGTTTGATTATAAAAAATAGTTTCCTTTTTTTCAAGAGATTGTCAGTGCATGCAGTGAAAGTTAGATGGTACATTTTAAACATTTTCACATCAGCGTACTAATCATAGTTGTATTATTCCAATCTGGCCAGAACAGATCAAAGTTGATATTTAGCTTATTACTGATGTACATTATTTAAATGAGCTGTTAGCTTACGCCACCAAGTTAATACAGTGGTGTTACTACAATGGTGGTGTTTTAACTAGAATAATGCCTAACTAGTCGCAGTGAAAGAAGAAGCATGTTTTTGTGTTTACTCAGAAGAAATTGTTTTCATGTTTAGTCATTTTAAGAATCAAAGTTGAAACAGTAAATAATTGTGTTATTATTTACTGTTTAGCTGATGCACTTGCAGTCTGTCAGTCTACACACATGGTGAAATGCTTTTAAGCAATGACGTTGTTTGAATTGTTCATATCTCATATACTGATCATGTATCGTACCAATCAGTGAAAATGTGTCGTGTTGCGTAAGAAAAACTCATTTAAAAAAAATTGTTTCAAAGTTGAAAGAATATTGTTCAATTATTTTTCACTGTTTAGCTGCTGCTAATGTTCATATATACATGCACGTTACAGCAAGTTATTCATACGATGTAGTTTACATTTCGTTGTTTCTTCGAATTCACTTTGGTAAATAAAATTAAAGATAACTTTAAATAAGGTCATAACTTTTCTTTTGATTTTGTTACTAGAATGTAGATTGTATCAGGACTCAAAAGAAATGGACATTATAAAAACTAATAGTTCAGTTACATATTCAAATCTCTAGGATTGAAATTATGGAATACATGTGGCATCTTCAAGCAGCCATGAAATATAACATGTCCTACCATCTACGGGGCAACTTGCATCAAACTTGCCATATGCTGTGAAGCACCAACGTGCACCAAGCACCAACCAAGGGCCTAAAGTATGTATGCCTTATTTAGCATGGAAATGCTAATTCTAAAGAATGAGGACTAGTTTTATGGATAGACAAATTCTTTATTTTATATAGGCGACGTTTCGACATAGATTCTTATGTCGTTGTGAAGCAAGTGGTACATGGGACGAACGAAATTTGATGTTTAACGTCGGCTTTTAGCGGTGCCAATGTCGCCGACGAGGTAGGTGGGGTTTAAATAAATGATATAATGATGGTACAATAAGGAATAAACCACCGCACCCAAAGAAATGTAGATATGTAGGGTCTTAAACGTACCATGATTTTGAATAAAAACGTTTACAACATAATGGAAAATAAAGTAGAAGCCGATATTAAAGCTAAAAAACAATGCAGTTTGTTAATAATAAGAAGAGTTAGAACGAAACAGATAGTAAATAAAGTTGGAGGGGGGGGGGGGGATATAGTAGGGTGGTATAGCTTAATTGGGCTTAGGTTTTTTGGTACAGTTAAGCTGTACGGTTAAGAATAGAGGCCCTAATAAAGAAAAAAAAGGGGGATAAGACTGGGTGGTGTCGGGTAGGGGAGTGGGAGCGTAGGAGGCGGTAAGGGGTTTGT